ATTTATAATATTTATAAATTTAATTGCCACGGGATCCTGGAAGTGCCAAATATTTATAATATTTATAATATTTATAAATTTCGGGCCTCCAAATTTATAAATATTATAGATATTATAAATATTTATAATATTTATAATATTTATAAATTTAATTGCCACGGGATCCTGGATGTGCCAAATATTTACAATATTTATAAATTTTGGGCCTCTAAATTTATAAATATTATAAATATTTATAACCACGGGATCCCGGGAATGCCAAATATATACAATATTTAAAATATTTATAGATTTACTTGCCACTGGATCCCAGGAATGCGAAATATTGAAAAATATTTATAATATTTATAAATTTGGAGGCCCGAAATTCATAAATATTTTTTTATAGATATGTTTGAATATTTGTAATATTTATAGATTTAATTGCCACGAGACTCCGCAAATGAAACATATTTAATTGTCTTATTTATAAATTTGGAGAACCGAAATTTATAAAGAAAAGTGCAAAAACAGTCTTCGACACATAGGGCGTGTTCTTCCCTCTTACGGCCCCCCCCCCCCGACGAACAGAATCAACTCTTACAGGACCAAACTCAATGCACAATCCCAACTCCTGATTGTAATACATTTTTGCTAAAGCAAGGAGAACTCAGGTAGCTCAAGCTACCTTTCGTGATAAGGAAATCCAGCAAAAAATGGAATAAAGGATCTCTCCCAGATCCACTTCTTCCCCTAGACTCTACTCCGCCACTCCAGGAGTAGGCCTTAGCCCAAGAGGATATCGGTTCAGTCACATCCAATCCTCCCCGCCACACCGGGCACATGAAAGGACCTCATAACTGCGTTCAAAAGCTAGAGAAACATCCAGCAATCGCTCTTCACGAATCTTTTGTCTGGTGTCTGCGACGCGAACCTCACCTTTAATTAGGGCCGTAACAGCATTGCTGTAACGAAGTCCTAGGTGTTTTTACATGTTCAAGCCCTTGAATTTCAAGGGTACATAAGGGTACGTGCTGGTGCGGCGGTTCCAGTAAGAATTCGGTGCGTGAAAGGTGCGTCGGGCAATGCTTTCGAGGTGGCCAGTCCGATGGTGCTGGACCTTGCCAGAAGGTATCTGGACCCTCCTGGCACCCACCCCAGTCCCACCGTACCTGAGGTTCGGTATGACTGGAGCCCTAGGGATCACATATTTTCGGCCAAGGGGCGGCAGGAGTTCAGCAAAAGCCACTTGGGCACATCCAGGATCAGCTGCCCGCTGCCACCTCAGTGCGACGCAAAAATGCGTCATGACGCATACGAAAGGCGAGCAGGATCCACATACTTACCCTCTGAGGTACGGTGATTAGAGACGACCCTTAAAGAAAGGCGCCACGAGGGACCAACGACCTTCTGAGAGGGTATGTGTATCTGAGAGGGTATGCGTATTGAATAGGACACATAAATACACTCGACACAGATTTCATTGAAATTGATTGAAACTGAACATCGTCGTGTTCATCCTGCTGTCATCCAGTGAAGATGCTATGATGTGCTGCTGCTGCAGGTTTTCTGCACACACCCACCGATCCTTGGATTCTGGGCCAAGAACATATCTCAACATGTTGAATACAGGCAGGAGATCTTGGGGTGACCCTCCGTGACCCTCCTGTCCCAAGATCTGCCTCATTTCTACCAGCGCCTTCACCTGGTCGCAGCCTTCCGCCTTCGTGTGCACCACCAGCCCCACCTTCGAAAAAGGCCTCGAGGACCCCCCCGGTTCACCTGCAGCCTGAGAGGCCCAGTTCAGCAACAATGCGGGTTTGAACCTGGTTCAAGGAAGTTCCGATCGGTGCGATTGGAGGTCAGAGGACAGAAGAGGACTGAAAAAGCAAAATGACATGTGATGGCATGTTTAAGGGCGAAGGGTTAGGAGCATCACTGCATTGAGTTCCAAACCTGGACCTCCGTCTCGAAGGTGGTTGGGGTGGGTGCCGAGGTCCTATTAAGTGTAAAGAAAAGGTGGACTCCCAGCTTGTTGGGCTTATATACATGGCATGTACTGGCAAGAAACAATCTATATATATATATATCACTCAGGGGCAAACATCTAATTAAAGGGTCATCAGACTCATCAAAAAGCATCAAAGGCAGGCAAGTATAGAAAAGTCATATGATTAGATATGATTAGTTCATATTAGTTCCTAGTGCACCGGAAAATGCAGTGGATGATTCTAGAAGATGGTCAGGCAGCTGACCGGAGCATCAAGCCAAAGCATCGACACGTGTCTCTCTGCGTTTTTGTAAGCCCGAAAGAATCCCAAGATATCCCAAGCGAGTCGGATCGGATGTCCGCCGGTCTTAGTGGTGCTTAGTAAAGACCCTCATGAAAGGTGAAGGTGTTGAGAAGCACCTGAGCACCTGCAATAGGTCCAAACCCTCCAGTTCGGAAGGTCAAAGACGCTTAGGGCAAGGATCTCAGCCCACCTTTCACCTTTCCACCCGTCGTCGTCCAAACGGACTTGGTGAACTGGAACCGGAGAGCGTTTTGGAGGAGCTCTTTCCCAGCCCCTCAAAACCTAGGACCTACAAGAACCCTAGGGATTGGTGGCCTCCCCAAACCCCAAACACTTCGGGAGCCGATCAAGTCGCGGACTTCGGGACGGTCGATCAAGTCTCCTGTCCATTCCGGATCTGCCACATGTGTCACCACTCTGTCTGAGCTGCCTCTGGGATGACCAGCAAATGGATGCATTGACCTGGATCCATGGATCTATGGATCAGAAAAGGTGTCACAGGAGCTTTGGATCAAGAAGGACAGGGGACTTCACAGGAGATATCACCCATCACCTTAGAAGTTTATAAGCTAAGCTAGACTTGATCAATGTGATGAAATCCTTCAACAGTCACATGGTTTGCTGGTCTTTGGGGTACCATTTCTAAGGGATGATGTTGTACTTCCGTAAAGCTACTCCCTTGCTCCATGGTGTCGTCTGCGGTAAATGCTGCCTGTCGGTCGCGCAAACGATGACTAGATTCAGATTATCATTCTGGTTGCACTGATGAGGCTTGCCATTTTGGACTTCAGGGTAGCAGGAGACGCTGCCTTCCAAGGCGTTGCAGAAAGTGCTTCTTTTAGATCCCACCTTTCAATTCTGAACCTGTTGGTGCGCTCCAAGTTATGATTTGATCGTCACATGTACACGTAGTACTATACATGCATCATTTTCTGGGTACTTTGGAAGGTCTACAGTGGCTACCCTGTCTAACTATTGACTTTCTATTAGAGCCAATGACTTCGGAATACTCCCGAGAATGGTCAGGAATCTGGAGTATCTGTCACTTGGACAACGAACTTCGATGGGGGCCAACCTACTATTGACCACTCAAATCAAAGCTTTTCAGACAGTTTAACCTCCCCCACCTTGACGCTGGCCATCACCGCGTCTGCTCCCCACGTGTCGACCTCCTCGACCTTGATGGGTCGACCGACCGTCTGCCTTTCGCCCCCGCCTTTGCCCACCTTGCGCATGCGGAAGGCGCCTTGTGCATAGTCCCTGAAGTTCATGTCCTGTGGGAGGTCTACGACTCGCCGCGGGTAGCGCGAAAGCAAGTGGTGGGAGGGCCACGACGAGGCCAAGGGCCAAAGAAGTGGTTTGTGAACTGGAATATCGGATAGACTAGATATAATTGGTAGAAACATCTTGTTGAGCTGGTGCTCTTCCCTTCTGTTTTCAAGATCTGCACCTCGTTTTGAGGCCATAAGAGGCACTGAAATAACCCTGACCAGTCCTTTTCTCCATCATTTTGAGTCCCTCTCTTTCTCTCACACTCTCTCTCTCTTTCTTAGAAGACCTATAGTGGATTGAGAGTAGATGGCACAGACCCCAATGTCGGTGGTTTAGATGAACTCCTGGAGGTCTGAGAGGCGGTTTATATGAACTCCTGGAGGTCTGTGCCATCTACTCTGAAACCACTGTAGAAGCTCCTGGAAGGGAACCCTCGTTGCCTTCCCAACGGTGAGCACGGCTTTGGCACAAGGAGCCGCCAGGATGTCCATGCCCGTGGTATGCACCTGAGGCAGAACGTGCTCCAACGGACCGATGGAACCAAGGGCCTCTTTGGACATGCTTTTGGCCGGGCAGCGCCTCATCTGCGCACACAGATTTGGCTCATCTGCGCACACACATTTTGTTAGCACTTGCGCCTCATCTGCGCACGCAGATTTGACTCATCTGCGCACACAGTCCATGGGGGAGACTCAAGTGCGCACACAGGCCCTTTCCCGGATGTTTGCTTAGTTAAAAGGGTCGTCAAGATGGAATGGCCACTTCCTCCTCTAAATTTTAACCCTCGGGTGGCTCACCAAAGGGTGAGTCAACTTGGAATGACCACTTCCTTCTCTAAATTTTACCCCTGCCTTGCCCACAAAAGGGTGAGTCA